TTTTCTGAATGTGGAGAATGTAAGGAATCTAATGATGTAAAGAAAGTATTTGGATAGGTTGTATCTGCATCGATCAATCCATTCGCCTCGTGTCAGTAACACAAGCGCCACCTTCAAATTACTGCTCTCGTCAAGTTTTTGGAGAAGCATGATGGTTTCATTAGACGCAGAATCTCTGGCTTCAGGAAATTATTCATTTTGTTCAGTGAAATAGCTGATTTTCTGAATCTATTCCAGTTGCCATTACATTGAACGGATGAAGAACACTGTTTACTATGGAAGAAATGTAAAATTATATCGTTGCTTATATTGTCTTCGCCTACGAAAGTCTCGAGCATGACATTTTCTCTGTATATAGTATCAATATTCAATAGAGCTCACCAATTGAGCTGATTCTCATGGTGGCATGAGCGAACATGCCCTAATATTCGCATACTCATTTCGTCCCTCCTCTCCAACTGTGATTCTCATCTCACTCTATTACACTATCTTGCAGTTTTCTAATGTTAAATCATAAAATGAGCTGCAGAAAAGAACATGCTTTATTCAATGCTCATATGGCAGTGCTTCTCACATTGCCTAGAGATTGTATTGGGAAGAATTGTAGAGAAACGTTCACATGGAATTGAGGTTGTAATATGAAGAAATGAAAAGGAAACTGGAAAGATGAGTGCATGTGGGTGAATTTGGAGTATGACGGCGTCAACTGATTGAGAGATTCTATATGCATCCAGTGTGGTGGAACTCTGAGACGAAAGAAACACCTCTCTGAACGCACATCAAAATCGATGAGAATTCATCAGAGGATTGCTGTTGAATTTGTTGGAAGTTGCTTGCAGAGTAGAATCACTCTCCCATGTTAGGACTGGTCTTCAGGTGTTCTCTTCTCATCGAGTTTAATGTCTACTACTACTTTCCATAGTGTTTCTTTCCACGCGAAGCATTTCTCCCATAACCAAATGCGTTCTTCCCCATATCTCTTCGCTTATGTTGTATAACATAAGTTCACTTCAGTCTATCTCAAATTTCCCTTTCATCACACTTCTGAATCCGTCACATTCTATCCATCTCCAATGGGTCCGTTTTGCATACATTTCTCCACGTTGCAATGAGTTGTATAACCCAAACGATTTGGCAAACTACGACACATTCATTATATCTAATGGAAAATTTTAATGGATTCCATGTGTTGTTTCATGGAAAAGTTTAGAGTGTCTTGGAAGAATTTCGTGTGTGATCATAATTTCACACGATTTCACTACATCGTCATTGATCTGTCCGGTATCTTTAGAGTGGTTATTACTCGGTTCTCGAGGAAATTCTCCAGAGAACGCTACATGCTTCCGAAAGCATCTTAGAATTTCTATCGATTTTGGTGTCTTTTTGGAAAACTTCATTACATTTTTAGTCGTTTATATAGCTTATTTTCTCATCCCACTATCGATTTTTGCTCATTATCGCAACCAACATGAAGCAAGCACTTTATCTCATGTTTTCTTAGAGCATTTTCTTTCTGATACTTATGTTTTATTTTCTTTCGCAGATTATTTTTGTTAGCTTAGACGTTCTTTTTGTTTGGTCTTCATCATTTGCGGTTGTATTCATTGGAAGATTTTACAATAAATTTCTTGAAATCAATCTTTTAGATCATCAAATTGAGTGACTACTCTGTAAAGTGCACTCACGATGTCCGATAAGCAACCAGCGAACAACTCGATGAATCCCCCGGGGGGTTAGTTCTGTTTTTTTTGTGCCGTACTTTTGGTTTATTTTCTTGGATTTCTCCTAATGCTCTATAGAGAGTGAAAGAGTTCCATTTGAATATTAAGCGTCCCATTGGAGAGTTTATCAGAAAGTGGTTCTTTTAACTTTGGTATGTTTAATAAAAATTGTTAAGTTCAAAATATTTATCTCTAATCTCCATTTCCGTTCCGTCATGACAGTGTTTTGAAATTTTTCATTCATGTGAGTTTCCTTGTAAGTTATAGATTCCTTATTCTGGATTTGCCTTCATCATTCTCTAATCTTCCATTGGGTATTTAGATTTGATGCGTTAAGATTAGCGGATCGTATTCTTAAAATTTTTATGAGTATTATGGGAGCGAGCATCACTATTGGAAGAATCGAATTCACATGACTGAATTCATTTAATTGCAGCAAAATTAATCTTTTGTTATGTTTCGAAAGAAATCTGCAATATGGTTCAGTATGGTTCAATACAGTGTAATTCTTATGAAAATGTTTAGAAGTTTATTAATCGTTGACCGGTTTCAGTACCTATACCTCCACCAAAAGAGCTACCAAGTTTCATCACTCAGCAACACCACCCAAAAAGACCCCCTCCAACATCGATTTCATCGAGCTCAGGCACTGTCATACCCCCGCCAGTGCCCCCACAGCTTCATCCGTTCCCACCTCCCCCCACTGGCCAACCCTCGATCACGATCGCTCCACCGACTCCGTGTCCCGTAACTCCACCTGCCCCAGTTACAGCTCAATCCAGCGTGACCAGTGGGCAGAGCACGGTGTCGTCTTCACCACCGGCTGAAATCCCAGTCACGACGACAGAATCTGTGAATACTGGTCAGATTCCCACAAAAATGATGACTCAGTCCGGAAACGATATTGGCCAATCAGCTGCGAAGGATCAAGCAAACAAGGCTCAGCCTACATCCAAGACTCAAAACCAACGACCTCAGCCAATAGCTGTGGCCATGTCTGAAGCTGAAAGTGATCTAACGAAGTTGGAGGGTCAAGGCGAACAACAACCAACTGAAGGGAACAGTGGAATGTTTGGATGGATACAGAAAACGGTCACTCAATCAGCATTCTTGTCGAAAGTAGCGGATAAAGCAAAGGTATTTTGATGTGTTATTGGATTCGTTTTTTAATTTGTTGTAGGAATTTAAGTTCGCTTTCGTTTAATCGTATTGTTATTTTTGCATAATTTTGGTTCGATAATTTGAAGAGGTTTCAGTGAAAACAATTGAAGCGATATCAATTAAATGTTATTGTAATTTTACTGATACTGAAACAGAATGTATCATTGAGAGTCATTATTTCCTAATATCGTTCGTATCAAGAACAGATGATGAAAATTAGATTTATCATGATAACAGTTAATAATCTTTAATCATATTGTTCATTGGTACGTTTGCTTTTATTTCACTTTATCGGTACTATGCCAACTGTTATCGTTTGCATTGCTTTCGGATGATTGCATTCATGAACATCCTGTAAGAACAATTATGTTCATACGCTGTCAATGTTGATGTGGTGATTGCTGATTGATTCAATCAGAGGTAGAAGGTGGCTATTTTTTGATGGATCGGAACGTGTTTCCAGACCGGAATGGACTCGGTTCTAACAACTCTAGATCCGGGGATGAAGGATTTTTTGAAGAGTGACGGTTCGGTGGATTTGGTGATAGCATCTGACAATGGTCGTCTGATAACGGCTGTAGCTGATGGTTTCCGGCGGGTTTTCACGAATGTCACATTCCGGGGTATGGGAACTCCAGGCTCGAATGCCTTATTACCGCAGATCATCGGGCATACGTTCGCGTTGAGGGTAAATTCTTTTTTGTTGACGCAGTTAATTGTTCCCGTTTGGTTGTTGTTGTTGTATTGCTTCCATTCCTGTCATACTCTGTTGGTTTCAAGAATTTGGATTTGGATCAGTACGACTGTCTGTTATGCTGTTGTTTCTTTTGATTTTCAGATTCTGAATTTAGGAACTCAGGGATGCATTTCGGTTGTTTATTTTTCATGTTCTGTTCAGTTTGAACCAGGAGAGCGTATTGATGTTATTTTTTTAGCGATAGGGCATGTGATGCGCATAGATAATATTTCATTTTAGTATGCAAAAGAACGAATTCAACTGTTGCAACGCAGTGGATTAGCTGGAGGAACGAAAGCATCAGCAATAGTTGCGATGCAGCCGTTTCTGCATGATGTCGATGGAACGTGGTACGAATCGGTCGTTTTCGCGCTGCAAGTCAGTTGGATTTGTTATTTTCTTTCGGAAATTGTTTGCTTTGTAAACTATGAAACAGATCCGATAACTGGTTTGGTATGAATTTTATCATGGAACACGATATGCCTAAACAACCTTATCAGGGACGTACTGTTGTGCGTCTATTTTGAGTGGTATTATTCATGAGATATATGGATGGTCATTACAGAAAGGTGATGTGAATGTTCATGTGTTCACGCAGCCAATTGAAGTGGACCAGCGAGTTATAGCTGCATTAAAGGTAGGTTTTAGTGATACTACGCATTGTTTGTTCATTATTGGTTTTGTTATTTTTCGTATTGTTATGATTTTTATTGACCGCATATGTGGAGTAATAATTGTGGGAGTGAATGTTTAAGGAGCACACACCAATCGATTATGCAGCAAATGCTTTCTCGACGCCAGTTTCGATCGGTTACGCTGAAGTGTATGGAATGGATCCAGACGATTGGCAACAAACGATGTTGTCGTTCTCATCATCCGAGCTATACAGAATGGCTTGTGCAGCTCTGGCAGCAGCATTTAAACGGAAATTGGAACGTGGCTTAGAGGGGGATTAGAGTGAAATGGATTTTAATTTGATACGGTATGGTATGGTACAATATAAATTTATGGGATTTTCATTATAATTCTGCTAGTAGCCGATTCCTACTGGATCTTGTGATATTGTAGTATATTAAGATTCTTTTTGTATGTGATTTTGAAACGAATTCAGATGTGATCTGATGTTCGTTTCATTGCTTTTTGTGTTTTTTTCGGTATTATTGTGATCACTTCTTTTATAGGCACATTATTTTGGTTGCCATATTGATGTCCCTATAACAATAGTTAGCATTACTGTGAAAATGAGCTGTTGTCATGGTGAATATCATNTTGAGTATGTGCTGAAAACGAATTGTTTGTGATAACGAGAAATTGCATTATGATTACTGATTGTGAGTCACATTTTCAACTGGATTATTGAATAATTCATTCACATAGAAATTCAAATGTTGTTCTTTAATGACTACTTATGAATTTGATTCATTTGATGAAGATGATCTGAACTTGGAATCTGTCGCCTTTCAGCTTGTCTCTAGTGACTTTATTTGTAAATTCGCGTAACTTTTCCGAAGATTTTTCCTTTTGTCTTCTTTTGTTCTTCGTACAGTTCGTTGAAAATTACATTTAATTCCATTCTATCGTGTCGTGCATGTCCATGGTATGATTTTCTGTCTTATTCAATCTGTTCTTTCATTCATTCATTTATGTCGTCTTCTTAATGCTTTGTTCCGTGATAATGTTATGCTTGGCTATGCTCGACATTAACAAATAACCAATAAAATTCATTATTTATGATCTGTTGATCGAATGCGATTTGTTTTTAATAATGACAAAAATGTCTTCGTGGTTGTTTGGCCAATTACTAGTATCATTGTTGGGAAAGTTGGTGAAGTTAGGAATGGACTGAAGTAAAGTAGAGTGGTTTGAATAAAGTGTTGCCGGTTTGTGGGGAAGTATCGATGATAGATATGTGAGGATGATTGAGTAGCTTTCGAAGAAGATTGCTTACGAATAATGAGGAGTTTTCTTTGCTAACATAGTTCGATGATCGTATTCGGTTGAATGTTTTGATATTGTATAAACGGTCGCTTCATATCAACGTATAGTTTGAGATTTTAACGTTGAATAGTGTTTCATGATTTCGAGCGTTACGGTTTTGTTGTGTTGAATTCAGCGTAGAACTGATCCTATTGTGATGTTTGGACTAAAAATTGGATGTACTCACTAGTGAGCGAGGCACAGTTTTGGTTCAGTTTAAATTGAAATGTTTATGAAATACGAGCCGATAGAGTTGTTGAAACGAGGAGATATGCAGTGATTTATTATCGTTTAGTTGCGATTGAGTGTGAAGCGGAATAGAAGTGATTGGAATCGCGAGTAAACAATTGAAAAACAGTGATTGGAAGCGAGTAAATTGGAGACATGGTATTTTTTTATTAAATGAAATTATTCATCTGAGGTTCATTTTGTTTTGAGATGTTTTTTGTTGATTCGTTTTGTTATTCATATCCGAGAGTATGTGTGTTATTGATTGTTATCTGTTCAGGGCAAATTAAAGAAGTCGCAAAAGTTTGCGACACGCCTGGCCAAGATGATTAAGCCAACAGATGCGAGAATGTAAGTTTCGGTTTGCTTTCGTTTGATAGTTGTGATTTTTAGAGAGCTTTCNTGTAATGTCATATTGACCAATTGAAAGATTTTACTGTTCATCAGTTTTACAGAAAAGAAAGCGATCGTGTCATTCGAAAGAAAAAGGAGGACAAGCAGGCTCTGAAAATCAAAGAAGCGTAATTTTTTAATTTCCTTTGTTCGAACACAATATTAATTTTGGAACGAAAAAAGGAGCGTTCTGCCAGAATCGTGAGCACTGGCTGTTGTCTTTCTCGTAAAATCAGTTCATTAAATAATTTTTCAAAATGTTGAAATGGTTTAACGATCGGAAATGTTGCGTCAATTGAGGTTTTGAATATTTTTAGACCACAGGTGTCGTCGGCAATGTTTCTGAAATACAACAGTCAACTTGGTCCACCATACCACGTGATTGTTGATACAAATTTTGTGAATTTTTCAATCAAATATCGAATCGATATGATGCAAGGATTTATGGATTGTCTTTACGCTAAGAGTTGGTTTCCTCTCTTTTTTTCAGTTTTTTTTATAAAATGACTTTGAAGTTATCTTTGATTGTTCTGATTGTTTCGAGTAGGATTCAAAGAGTGGTTCATAATGTTTTCAGCTATTCCATACATAACGGATTGCGTGTTGGGTGAATTGGAAAAGCTCGGTCAACGATGTAAAGTGGCGCTAAAGATTATTAAGGATAACCGGTTCAAACGATTGTCATGTTCACATAAAGGGATCTATGCTGATGATTGTATCGTGCAACGTGTTACGCAGGTGAGTGTCTCATTCTTTTGGATTTCGCTTTGAATGATTTGTTTATAAAATGGTTCCCAGACATGAATTCCGAAGCACTTTTGACAGGGCAGTCATTGAAGTTTCAGTTTTAGACTAGAATTCTCCATTCTTCCTTTAGAATTTTGTTCAGCTTCATTATATGAGCGAATTAGATTCTCTTTTAAAGGAAGTGTTTATGAAAGACAAAAAAGTTTATATAGTCATTTTTTTGATTAATTTGAGTCATAGTGAATGATGAATCAACCGTTTAGCATAAATGTTATATGGTGGCGACGTGTGATAAGGACTTGAAGAGACGAATACGTAAAATTCCTGGAATTCCAATAATGTATATAAGGCAGTATCGGTATTCAATCGAGCGAATGCCTGATGCGTATGGAGCACCGATGAATTGAGACATTGAAATTGAAATATGCTTCTAAATGGAATTACTCTTGTTGTTGTTATTGATTATGATTTTGTATTGTTATCAATTATTGTTATTGTGATTGATTATTACGATTGTTGTTGTCATTTCATTGTATTTTCAAAATTTGATGAGGTTTCCGAGACTATTTGTTGGTTTCTGATGATGTGTTTACAGTTTTTCATAGACTGCTCATATAATGTTTATTATTAATTGAGTATATTCAACAATAAGAATTTCATATTATTAGATAATTTTGTCTGAGTGACCAACATCATTCGAACATGTTTTTTTTTGTATACAACACAATTAAACACATCTCATTATTCGTTCCTATGCACCGGAAGAGAATGTAATAGGACGATGCAATTACGCTAGCACGATGTAGAAGAGACTGAATGAGACAATAGTGGAGCAATGTGACCAGAAGTAAATTGTGATAGTTGGCGGCTGTGGACACGCAAAATATCACATCGAAAGCATGATTTAATCCATGAACGGAACGATAATTTCTATCGATCAAGACACACGATCAGATAATGATCAAAATATTTCATGATCAGAACACATGAAAATGAAAATTTAAAAAGAAATCCACACTAAGATTACCGAACAATAAGGAATGAGAGTCAATAAAACCGTGTGTTCAATGGAAATCAGTCAATTAGTAATATGCAATTAGTTATTGTTAGTAAT